TCACACGTCTGTAAAAATTAAAAATAGGAAGAGAATTAGTCATGAGTTCATTCTAGCAATAGAAGATATCCACTGATACATGAACTAAAAATCAATGACTGTTTCAAATGGGAAAGAAAAATGCTCAAAAGGAAAATCTTGCAAATTAGTGTGGGAAATTATTAGCAAATAAATATTTTTCCTTTAATTTTTTATTGTGAAAAAATTCAAACATATATAAAATAGACGAGTATGACCAGCTCTTATATATGCGTGCCCAGCTTTTATTTTTGTTAACATCTGTTTCTCCACCCAACTCACCCCACTACTCCATAATGATGAAGATAATGGGTTTTTATCATTTTTAGTTTTGATTTTGCATTGGGGGTGGTTTACTCTCTTTTGTATATGTAGGCATGTGCTTTTCCTAAGAGCTTTGCAAATAAACTTTTTACTGTTACTTTTTCAGAATTAATGTGACATGTTAATGATTATTAGATCTCATCAATCCTTGGGGTACATGAAGTCTTTCCAAGAGATACACAAGCAGATATATTTTATTGACTTAAGTTAAATGCCATTTACAGGGTAAATTATATGAACAAATAATAATCAAATGCCTTTACATTTAAATGGGGGAAGTTTTGGGGAGAAACATTCTTTAGTCAGTGCACTTATTCAATACAGGCATACCTCAGAGATATTGCAGATCACCTAACTAAAGTGAAGATTGCAAAAAAGCACGTCATACCAATTTTTTTGTTAACCAATGCGTACAAAAGTTGTGTTTATACTATAATCTCATAAGTGTGCAGTAGTATTGCATCTAAGAAAAAATACCAGTGTGAATACCTTAAGTAAAAAATATTTTATAGGTAAGAAATGCTAAGGAGCATCTGAGCCTTCAGTGAGTTCTAATCTTTTTGCTGGTGGAAGGTCTTGTCTTGATATTGATGATTACTGACTGGTAAGGGTGGTGGTTGCTGAAGATTGGGGTGGCTGTGGCAATTTCTTAAAATAAGACAACAATAAAGTTGCCACATCAATTGACTCTTCCTTTTATGCAAGATTTCTCTGTAGCACGCAATGCTCTTTGACAGCATTTTATTCAGAGTAGAACTTTTTTCAAAATTGGAGTCAATCCTCCAAAACCCTGCCGCTGCTTTATGAACTAAGTTTATGGAATGTTCTCAATCCTTTGTTGTATTTCAGTGATATTCAGAGCATCTTTACCAGAGGTAGTTTTCATCTCAAGAAACCACTTTCTTAGTTCACCCATGAGAAGCAACTCCTCATCCGTTCAAGTTTTATCATGAGATTGCAGCAATTCAGTCATATCTTCAGGCTCTGCTTTCAATTCTAGTTCTCTTGATATTTCTATCACATGTGTAGTTACTTCCTCCGCTTGGACTCCTCAGTCATCCATGAGGATTGGAATCAACTTCATTTGAACTCCTGTTAATGTTGATATTTTGACCACCTATGATCATGAAAGTTCTTAATGACATTTAGAATGGTGAATCTTTTCCAGAAGATTTTCAATTTACTTTGCCCAGATCTATCAAACAAATCACTGTTATTGCAGCTATTGCCTTACGAACAGTGTTTCTTAAGTAGTAAGACTTGAAAGTTGAAATTACTCCCTGATCCTGCAGAATGGATGTTTGTTAGCAGGCATGAAAACAACATTATGCTCCTTGTACATCTCTATCAGAACTCTTGGGTGACCAGGTGTGTTGTTAGTGAACAGTAATATTTTGAAAGAAATGTTTTGTTTTGTTTTGTTTTCTGGCTGGTCATGGCGGCTCACCCCTGTAATCTCAGCACTTTGGGAGGTTGAGGTAAGAGGATTGCTTGAGCCAAGGAGTTCAAGACCAGTCTGCTCAGTATAGTGAGACTCCCATCTCTATTAAAAAACAAAATCTTTTTTTGAGCTGTAAGTTTCAACAGTGAGCTTAAAATATTCAGTAAACAATGTTGTAAACCGATGTGGTCCAATCCAGGCTTTGTTATGAGGCCAGGCAGGGTAGATTTAGCTTAATTCTTAAGGACTCTAGGATTTTTGGAATGATGAATGAGCATTGGCTTCAACTTAAGGTTACAAGCTGCCTTGGCCCGTAACAAGTCAGGCTGTCCTCTGAAACCAGACGTTAACTTCTCCTCTTTGGCTATGAAAGTCGTAGATGTCATCTTTCAATGAAAGGCTGTTTCATCTACATTTAAAATCTGTTGTTAGTGTAGTCACCTTCATCACTGAAGTTAGATAGGTCTTCTGGATAACTTGCTGCACCTTGTGCATCAGCCCTTGCTGTTGTTTCACCTTGTTCTTTTATGTTATGGAGACGGCTTCTTTCCTTAAACCTCGTGAATCAACCTCTGCTAGCTGCAAACCCATTTCTGCAGCTTCCTCACTTCTCTCAGCCTTTATAGAATTGAAGAGAGTTAGGGCTTTGTTCTGAATTAGGCCTTGGCCTAAGGGATATTGTAGCTAGTTTGATTTTTTTCTTTTTATCTAGGCCACACAAACTTTCTTCATGTTACCGATTATGCTGTTTTGCTTTCCATCATTCGTGTGTTCACTGAAGTAGCATTTTTAATTTCCTTGAAGAACTTCAAGAAATGCAAAGGAAACTTTGCATTTACAACTTGGCTAACTGTTTGGTGCAAGAGGCTCAACTTTTGGTCTGTTTTGACTTTCAACATGCTTTTCTTACTAAGCTTAATAATCATTCTGGCTTTTTAAAAGTGAGAGTTGTACAACTCTTCCTTTCACTTGAACGTTTAGAGGCCATAGTAGGGTTATTAATTGGCCTGTTTTCAGTATTGTTGAGTCTCGGAATAGGCGGTCCCAAGAAGAGGGAGAGAGATGGGAATGGACAATCAGTGAAGCAGTCAGAACATATACAACATTTATAGGTTAAGTTTACCATTTTACATGGACATGGCTTGTGGCACCCCAAAACAAGTGTAATAGTAAGCAAAAATGACTGATCACAGATACCCATGAGACATGTAATAATAATTATCAAAATGTGACACAGAGACGTAAAATGAGCACATACTGTTGGAAAAATGGTACCAGTAGATTTACTTGATGCAGGGTTATCACAAACCTTCAATTTCTTAAAAAATGCGTATCTGTGAAACACAGCGAAGTGAAGCTCAATAAAATGAGGTATGCCTGTATTTTGTTTTGCTCTATTTACATAATCTGTCTAGAGAATGTTCAGTACCCAAAATGTTATACTGTATAATGCTAGACATTGGTAAATACCAGTTGTTTCTTAAAAACAACGTAAGAGCAAAACTTAATTGTGCTTTAATTTAGTAAGTCACAAAATAGACCAATTATGTTACCATAGTCTAAAGAATGGTTTTTATTTTTGTATATTAAACATGACAGCCCAATGAAGACAACTTGTAAGAGTTTTGTAGGGTACAGTTTAGGTCACAGAATGAAAGTTCAACATAACGTGTTTATTTTACATTGATTGTTTAACCAGTAATTATCCATATGACATCGCAATGCAAATGCTGACATCCATTTCCAAAAGAGTTGTTTTTTTGTGCTTTTTCTAAGGTTACAAAGGTTTTTGTGGTTTAAATGTTGTTACATATTTTACAGCATTAGGATCTATGGAATATTTTGACAACTGCAACAGTTCAATGAAGTTGGTAATTTCTTCTTTTAATTATTTTTCATTGAACAGCTTTGGAGTTACATTTCTACATTTTGATTTCTGGTATATAATATAAGGAAAGAAAAAATTATGTCAAAGGATACTTTAGAGAAAATACACAGCTAGTGATTACAATATGGCTGTAACTGAATTATCCTTAATCTTGTTGAAGTTTTGTTAATGCCTAATTTTGATGAAATAGTATGGTGGTCCTTCTAGCTACTGATTGTATAAATGTGATTGCACGTCTTTCTTAAATAAGTTGATTTGTAGGTTTTCACATATTGTCAGCCACACTCTAATCCTCTTGTAAAGAATGAACCTGGCTTTATTCAATTAAATAATTCTCTGGTACAGGTTTTCCTCCCATAATATTTTAAAGTATAATGTTTTGGATTTTTTTGAGGGTAAAGTAAAAAAAAAAATGTGTTTTAAAAACTTTAGTTGTCAAATTATTTTATTTTAAACCTATTTTAGAAATTAGAGATGTATTGTTTCTTTTGGGTGCATATCACCAATTAATACGTTTGATTTCAGATCTACAACTTACTGCTTTGTAAACTTCGCCGAGGTAAAATGAAACCATTTGGCTACTTGAACTGATCTACGTTACATAGGTTTTTCCTATTGACATTTGCAATAGATAACATGGCAGAAATGAAAGTGATGAAACAATACATCTTCCATACTCTGAATTGGCATAATGCTAAATACAATAGAAGCTAATTTTTTAGACTGTGAAATATAATTTTTTTTAGTTCAAATATTATTATAACAAGTGAGAGCTATTAGGAATAGAGCTTTCTCTACAGTAGTAAAATGTAACCAGAATGTTTGCATATACTGGAATTATAAAAGATTAGTTTTGCAGCATAACTCATTTTTCTAACTCTAATATTAAAGGATTTAATAAAATACAAATAGATTTTTCTTAATTGAAATATTTTATATATACTTAATTCTTTTCGAAGGGTGAAACTTTATTTTAAGTTTTTTAAAATATAAGATTAAATAACACATTTTAGCAAAATTATGTACTGTCATAAAAGATAAGGGCATTTCATGGTAACTTGTAGTTAAATTTCTGTAACTTTGGGTTGGGTAAAGATATACTTAAAATAAAGCATTCCCTTTGTAATTCTGATGCATTCTCAACAACATATGGGTATTAAATGACATGTAAAAGAGTTTATATAAAAATTACTTTAGAACTATTTCCTAGATTTAAAAATACTAATGCAGTATATTATAATGGTAGCTGTTTGAAATTTTGATATTAGCTTGAAACTTAACTGTGGTGGTACCTATATTAACATATTTATGTCTCTTATTTTTTTACAGCAAGGAGTAAATAATGCTGAAAAATTTGACTATGTAAGTGCAACATGTAATTCAGTTTTCATGCCACATTTTCTATATATTTGTTTTTTGATTACTAATTCCTAATTTTGGTTTATAGGTCATGCAGTTTTTGAATAAGATGGCTGGTAATGAATATGTTGGATTCAGTAATGCGACGTGAGTGTTTTAAATGCTGTTTTGTTACGTAAAAACACACACTGTATTTAGAATTGATCTGCTCTCTTTTCATTAGAGGGAAATGAATGATTTCTAAATTACCTGACAGAAACACTTAAAAATACTTTAAATAGTTTTGACAAATTTCTTACAGGTAATCATACAATCAGAAGAGACCCCAAGTTTATGTCAAATTACTGGTGCTTATTCAATTTTATCTTTACCTGTTTTACCTCTCTTCTATTTCTGTTCCAGGCTATCTGGATTTTTACCCCAATTTTTTATTTTAAAATTTGTCAGTCTATAGAAAAGTTGAAAAAATAAATCTTTTACTTATCTTTTACTTATATTTTCTAATATTTTGTCTTACTTGCTTTTTCTCAACCTCTGTCTCTTTAGATAGATAAAAATATGTATGTATACCTCTGCATACAAATATGTAAATATGTATGTACATAGATTTTTTTCCCCTAAACCATTTCAAATTAAGTTGAAAATTACCTCACCCTTGAATAAGAAAGCACATACAGTCTAAGAATAAGGACATTCTCCTATATAACCACAATATCATTAACACATGTAAGAATATTAATGTTAATTTTAAAATATCATGACATTAATCAATATGTAAATGTCCCCATCTCTTCCCCAAGTGTCTTTTACAACTTTTATTATTATTTTTTAGATTCAGGAACAAATCAAGGTTCTTACATTGTATTTATTACGATGTCTGTTTTGTCTGTTTACTTAGAACAGTTCCTCTGCTCTAGATCTTTGCTTTTAAAAATTTTTATATGTGCTTTTATTTATTTATTTATTTTTTGAGACGGAGTCTTGCTCTGTCGCCCAGGCTGGAGTGCAGTGTTGTGGTCTCGGCTCACTGCAAGCTCTGCCTCCTGGGTTCACATGTTCGCCTGCCTTGGCCTCCCAAGTAGCTGGGACTACAGATGCCCGCCTCTACGCCCAGCTAATTTTTTTTATTTTTAGTAGAGACGGGGTTTCACCATGTGAACCAGGATGGTCTCAATCTCCTGACCTTTTGATCCGCCTGTCTCAGCCTCCCAAAGTACTACGATTACAGGCATGAGCCACCGCGCCCAGCCATGGGCTTTTATTTTTAAAGAGTGCACGCTGCTTGTTTTATAGACCAGGGGTTGCTGACTTTTTCTTTGAAGGACCAGACAGTAAATAATTTATGTTTGTGGACCATACAGTCTGTGTTGTAACTTCTCAGTTCTGCTGTTTAGTAGAAAAGCAGCCATAGACAATACGAGGCTGTGTTCTAAAAAACTTTATAAAAACAGGCAGCAGGCCGTATGGTGGATGTTTCCCATTTTGTATTTGTCTGATGGGTTCCTTGTCATTAGAAACATTATTCTGTTAAACATTATTGTAATATTATTATGTTTTAGCATGTATACTACTATTTTATTTTTATTTTGCACTTCCTGCTTTGCATTTCAGGGGTAAGCATTTTAAGGTTGCATGCCTTCCCAACATTAATTCATCAGCTTAAGTATCTTTTCCAGGAAGTATTCCATGAATCTCAGCTTGCCTCTTTTCTGTGCTCTCCTATTACCATATTTTATCAAACTTATTACATGTCTCTCTTTGCCCCATAATCACCATTAGACTCTGCCCTCCTTAAGACCTAGATGGAATGTTGTGTCTTCCAGTTCATTTCTGTATGCATGTTATCTGACAGATAATAGGCACTTGAGATAGTGTTGAAGAACTGTGTCAGTCACTTTGATAATTGCTGACTAGTTAGTCATTTATCTAAACTATGTTGATTTTTTTTTTTAAAGTATGGCAAATTGATAAGAGTTTGAAATGTTAAAATGTACAATTAGAAGGGGCTGTCCACCTCAGTGATATAAAGAACATTACCCACAGTTCCTCTAATATCAGCAGCCCTTTTAGACTTGTAGGGTAATTCTCAAATATAATGCAAATTAAATCTGTCTAAATCAAAACTCATTCTCTTTCTTTCCAAACTGCTCTTTGCTCTACAGATAGATCCCTGTGTCAGTTAATATTATCATGTTCTCAGGCTATGTTAGAAATTCAGGCTTTGTATCAGTCTTTACTCTGTCTCTCCTTTTCCTCATCAGGTTGGAAGATTATCCAACTACTTGTATGTTTGATCATACCTCTCCTTCCATTCCTATCACAGCTGCCTAAATTCAGGCTTTTGTAGCTCTCATTACAGTATTCTTTTAATAGATCAGTCATCGCTTCTTTTTCCCCTTTTTCAAACTGATGTCAGTTATCTTTCTAAAATGTAGATCTGATTAGGTAACTTGTTTGAAAGCCCTCAGGCTTTTGTTTTGTGGGTAGTAAGGAGCTATTACATTATTCGACATCTATTGATTTTGATAATTTTGTCCCAGTCTCCTTCGTTTGTTTGATGTTTTCCCACTCTTCTCCATGTGTGTTTCCTGGTTACGTCAGAATATTTGCCATTCTTCAGTGGAGCCCTGTCCGTATACTTTTCTAACCGTTCATGCTGCATGGAATTTGCCAGTGCCTAGGCCTCGATGGTCTCGATGGTCTCGATGTACCCTGAAATCTGTTAGTCCATTGAATCCTGCAAGATCCATTTTGTGTTTCCCACTCTCAGTGAAAGTTCCATGATTATATCAAGTTCCCTGATTATGTCAATTAAAATGGACTCTTACTGTACTTTTGGGTAGCCAGAGGATTCTGCAGTTTTTCAGTGTATTTTAATGGTAGAAGATTTGAGAATTTTAAAATTAGCCTTTTTGTTTATAAAATATGAAGACTTGAATGGGCCTGATTCATTTCAGTCATTTTATAGTCAAGAAAATGAAGATAGAAAGAATTACCACTTAAAAGACTTGTCCAAAGCTACACAAATAGCCTGTTGACAGAATTGATTGGAACTCTGTAGTCCTAAATCTTAGTTCAGTGTTCTTCATGCTGTACATTGCTATACAAATGAAATTATGAACAATCACACTTTTAAAGAAAGTACATAGAGCAAATGTTTTTTGTTTTTTTCTTCTTCCAGGTTTCAGTCTGAAAGGGAAAGTGGAGATCGAAATTTTGCAATAGGATATTACTTAAAAGAAAAGAAGGTTTTTAAATTTTTGTTTCTCTTTCAAATTATTCTTTCATTTAATAAAATACATGAAGATGTATGCTAAGAATTCAACAATAGCCTTTAAGCAACTACCTATTACTATTTAAGAGAAGTTTTTGCAGAGTGCTCTTGAGTCAGTATTATCAAATTGTTAATGTTATTGTTAAATTGATTTGTATCTGGCAGTATTTAAATATTTGACTAATTTTATTTATTAATGCAAATTTTGTTTGAGGTTTAGTCTATTTTTTCAAAAGCATAATAATACCTGATTAGTGTTAACTACTCTTGATTTTTTTAAGTGGCTGGTCTAGTAACTTGATTTATACCTCGAGAATCATTTTATCATTGTCAGTTAAACTAGTATCTAAAAACTTAAATGATGTGATAAAATTTTGCCTTTTTGTTTCATGTTTATACTCTTTTAGAAGTTACATGCTATTAATTAAAATGAAACACTTGTGTACATTTGAAATTTTTCATGTATTTCTCTACTTATGTGCATTCCTGTGTGCCTGAATTTTTAATTGCCTTTCTATTTTTTTAGTGTTTTCCAGAAGGCACAGATATGGTTGGTATATTAGACTTCTACTTCCAGGTAATTTAATTATATAAATTGTATATATAAATGGATGTGTTGGCTGGGCACGGTGGCTCACGCCTGTAATCCCAGCACTTTGGGAGGCCAAGGTGGGCGGATCATGAGGTCAAGAAATTGAGACCATCCTGGCCAACATGGTGAAACCCCATCTCTACTAAAACTACAAAAATTAGTTGGGTGTGGTGGTGCCTGCCTGTAGTCCCAGCTACTCGGGAGGCTGAGGCAGGAGAATCACTTGAACCTGGAAGGCCGAGGTTGCAGTGAGCCCAGATTGCGCCACTGCATTCCAGCCTCGTGATAGAGTGAGACTCTGTCTCAAAATAAATAAATGGATGTGTCACATTATGCAAAATATAGGTGTCTCATAAATCTTGGTTCTAGGCCATGAGAAAATACATTTTTCATTGACTTTCAAAAATGTCTTCATAAAAGGCAGTCTTATGTCCATGTTGCCTAAAATATCATGCCTCAAAATGTAATAGGGACAATTTTTTCTGTAAACATATTGAAGAATTGTCAAAAATAATGTACACTCCTAGAAATTGGCACTCCTAATTATAAACTGAGCTCTAAATTTTTTGTAGCTTTTACATTTTGTTTGGGAATTTTTTTTTTTTTTTTTTAAATAATCAGAGGGCTCTTATTAAGCATTTAAAAGTGTCGGTGTCTCAGCTGACTTGGTATCTTGTAATTTCTTTGTTACTGCTCTATCCTGGCTTAACTGGTACTAGTTCATTTCTGCAGGTCATATGTCAGGCTTTCTTCTAAGTTAGAGTAGCTCTCAATATTGAGGGGCCGGGACTGGGCAAGAGGGACCATGTTACACAGTGGGCTGTGGTATAGAACTCAATTTAGAATAGCCTTCCTGGAGATCTCTTCTCTCACCCACATTTTCAGTTCAATTTATTCTTACAGATTTACCACAGTTGGTGCCACTGCTGGGGCTGTAATGTGAAGCCACATGGGAGGCTACATTATTGTTCATTTCTAGTTCACCTTACATTTGCCTGTCTTTAGTTTTAAAAGTTCCTTAATTTTAACCTTTCAGTAATCTTAGAGAATATATAAGTGAGGTTGATAATGAGTTAGATTTTGCTAGATGTCCAGGTTACAGCTTTTCGTCTGCCCATGTGAAAAACCGTAAACTGGGAATCCAGACCATCAATACAAAATTTAAGGTCTAGCCCCGCGACTTATTAGCCATGTGACTTAATTTTAGTTACTGATCCCTAGTTTCCTTATCTGTAGCATATGCCTGACCTGTCTTGCCATATTATGTGGAAGATAACATGAGATGATATGTGAAATTCCTTTCGAACTAGCCTTTATTTTTTCCTGGTCTGTATGAATTTTTTCCATAAGCTGCTTTTCCTTTGGAATACATATTTAAATTTGGCTGTTATAGAATCTACTATAATGTGACATTTCTGTACTTCATGGCAAAAATCAAGAAATGGCCATAGGAGTGATACTGACTTTTTTGGAGAAGGGGTGCATCAAATTGAACAACCATTGGGATTTGCAGGAGAGTACCCAAGTTAGCATTGGGCAAATTAATAATGTGCTGCCTTATGACAAACAAAATTCCAATTAATGTTAAGTATACGTTAGGAAATGATCATTGGAATTGAGAAAGCCTCGTATGATTAAGTCGACCTTATCACAAGTCTTTGCTCTCTGCAGTATTATAAGTCGATTCTGTCGTTTTTGAGAAATAGGGAAGAGATTTTTGATATAAATAGGCAATCTAGTCAAAGTTAAACACACAATGTTTTAATTCACTATACTTAGTTTTCCTTCTTGCTATTTCCAGACCTCTTTGTGCCTCTTGTAGATCTTGGAGTATGGCTGAGGAAAATTTACAAGTTGAGAACCCATTCTTCTCCTATCTACTTTCTTTTTTGACCCCATCTCATCCCAATTTTGCTTACTATTAGCTAAAAATAAAATGTGGAAACATTTATTTTCATTTTATGGGTAAATTTGGGTTTGGTATGGTGAACTATTTTCATTATTTTGGTTGTATTTAAATGCAAAAATTTCATCCTAGAGGGTATATTTAGCACCCATAGTAAATATCAAATAAATATTAATCAGTGGTCTAAAGGATAACATTTTGGTTTAGGCTTACAGAGCATCTGAGACAGATCTGCTTTATATTTTTCTTCCCCTTTGTCTTTTGCTTGTTACCATATAAATGGGGATACTGAGCTTTGTTATGGGTGAAATGTCAGGCACTTTAGCATTTTTTTCTAAAATGATGATTTCTCATGTAGACACTATCATAATCCTCATGTATGGTGCTTTACCTTAAAAATATTTCATGGCTCATTTTTTTTTCCTGTTGAATTAAAAGTAATTATGCTTGTGTATTCCACAGAAAGTATTAATATTTAAGCAGATTTGAATATCACATGGGATAATAACAAATCTTAGTGTTTAGAAGGCTGGCACTTCCTGGTCTAGTTCTGCCATTAAAAGACGGAGTATCTTTGGCCAAATCAGGGTAAACCTTAAAAGGGGGTAGGACTTTGGTCAATTAAAATCTTTAGAATGTCCTCAAGTTTATATTAATCTCTTTGGAAGAAATATTTCAGATCTGTACGAAATACCAAATAAAATAGATTATCTTAGAAGTGAACAGTAATATTAAAAGTAATATGACAATTCTGCTTTTTCTTTATGTTAGCTGTGCTCCATTGAAGTGACTTGTGAATCAGCCAGTGTGATGGCTGCGACACTGGCTAATGGTGGTTTCTGCCCAATTACTGGTGAAAGAGTACTGAGCCCTGAAGCAGTTCGAAATACTTTGAGTTTGATGCATTCCTGTGGCATGTATGACTTCTCAGGGCAGTTTGCTTTCCATGTAAGTAATTGTTTAATCTTAATTTTCTCTGGCAAGAAACTAGTCTGAACTGGTTCTTTGAAAAAGTGCAGTTTGAACTTTGCTTCTAAAGCTGTATATTAATTTTTGAGAGGTTTGTTTTTAAGGTTAATTTGTTACAAGATTAGTAAGGAATAGAGCTAAGGTCTACCAGAGGTTCTTAAGAACTTGGAAGTTTGATTTGTAGAACCTCATTCCTTCTGCTTTTAAGGCAATCCAGTGTACAAGGTTAGTACAGTCTTTCTTTACTTTTAGTTGTTAATGTTTAGCATTATGATGATTATGTATCTTAAGAATTCTTTAAGTTCAGAAAGTTTGTAAAGATGTGACGTTTCACATCTTTTTTTGTTTTGGAAATTTTCAAACATGTAAAACGAGAGAGAGAGAGAGAGAGATGCATTTAATGTTATCCATCACTCAGCTTCAATAATTGTGAATACATGACCAATCTTGTTTCATCTGTATGTGCATCTGTTTCCCCATCCTTGTCATATTTCAGCATATAATTCTAAATAAGGACCCTTAACAAAACATAACAATAATATAATTTTTACATATAAAAATTAAATATTACATATCAAAACTTTAATATCATTAATATCAATATTAAATTGAATATCATCAAAATATTTAGTCAGTGTTCAGATTTCCTGGATTATCTTGTAAATTATTATTTCTTTCTTTCTTTATTTTTTTTGAGACAGATTCTGACTTTGTTGCCCAGGCTGGAGTGCAGTGGCATGATCTCAGCTCACTGCAGCCTCTCCCTCCTGAGTTCCAGCGATTCTCCTGCCTCAACCTCCTGAGTAGCTGGGATTACAGGCGCCCGCCACCACACCCAGCTAATTTTTAGTAGAGATGGGGTTTTGCCATGTTGGCCAGTCTGTTCTCGAACTCCTGACCTCAAGTAATCCACCCGCCTCAGCCTCCCAAATTGCTGGGATTACAGGCGTGAGTCACCGCACTGGCCTATTATATTATTTTATAGTTTATTTGACTTGGGATACAAATGAGGCGCATACATTGTGATTGGGTTGTGTGTCCCTTTTTTTTTTTTTTAATCTATTGGTCTTCTTTTGACCGGTCTCTCTTTTTTTCTTGTTTGGTCAGAAAAACTGGGTCATTTAGTCTATACAGTTTTCCACTGTCTGTACGTTGCTGATTACCTCTGTTCCTTTGTCCCTTGTATTTCCTATAAATTTGTAGATCCAATTCAGGTGTTTTTTTTTTTTTTTTTTGTCTGCTTGTTTTGTTTAGTTTTGTGTAAGAGTACTTTATTGGTATACTTGTTTTATTTTTGTTTATTTATTTATTTATTTACTTATTTTGAGACGGAGTCTCACTCTGTCACCCAGGCTGGAGTGCAGTGGCGTGATCTCGGCTCACTGCAACCTCTGTGTCCTAGGTTCAAGCGATTCTCCTGTCTCAGCCTCCCGAGTAGTTGGGATTACAGGTGCCCATCACCACACCCAGCTATTTTTTGTATTTTTTAGTAGAGACAGGGTTTCACCATATTGGCTAAGATGGTGTCTATCTCTTGATCTCATGATCTGCCTGCCTCAGCCTCCCAAAGTGCTAGGATTACAGGCACGAGCCACTGCACCCGGCCTTATTGGTATACTTCTATCCAGAGGTACTTACTAACTGAATGTTAGTAAGCAGTTAATGAACACTGCCCTAAAGACATTAATTTTTGTTTTTATCATTTGTCAGGTTTTGCTAATATAACTTAAATTTTTTGAGGAGGAGTAATTTAAATTACCATTTTAGAAAATCTTTTAAGAATATATAACTCTTTATTGTTTTCTAATTGTAAAATATTTAAAAAATAATTTGTTATATTTAAAAACAATACATTTATTTAGAACATTTAGAAAATACAGTCAGAAAGAATAAAAGCATCCATAGCCTCACAATTTAGATGTAACTGCTATAATTCCTTAGAGTGTATCTTTAAACAATTTTTCTATATTCATATCTATCCCAAATTGTTTTGTAACTTTTTTTTTTTTTTTTGAGACGGAGTCTTGCTCCGTCACCCAGGCTAGAGTGCACTGGTGCGATCTTGGCTCACTGCAACCTCTGCCTCCCAGGTTCAAGCGATTCTCCTGCCTCAGCCTCCCGATTAGCTGGGATTACAGGTGCCTGCCACCACACACGGCTAATTTTTGTATTTTTTGTGGAGACGAGGTTTCGCCATGTTGGCCAGGGTGGTCTCGAATCCCTGACCTTAGGTGATCTGCCCACCTGAGCCTCCCAAAGTGCTGGGATTACAGGCATGAGCCACCGCACCCAGTCTTATAACTTTATTTATAAACATGTTGATAAAACTTTTTCTATAATATTTTTAATGTTGAAATTCTGTGATATGTGTGTATATGTATAATATTTTATTTTATTTTTATTTTTATTTTTATTTTTTTTTGAGAGGGAGTCTCGCTCTCTCGCCCAGGCTGGAGTGCAGTGGTGGCATCTCAGCTCACTGCAGGCTCTGCCTCCCAGGTTCACACCATTCTCTTGCCTCAGCCTCCCGAGTAGCTGAGACTACAGGTGCACATTTTGGGAGGCTGAGGTGAGAGGATCAGGAGGTCAGGAGATAATTTTTAATTTTTAAACCGATTTCCCAATTTGTTTTTTTTTTTTTGAAACTGGATCTTGCTTTGTCACCCAGGCTGGAGTGCAGTGGTGCGATCATGGCTCACTGTAGCCTTGACCTCCTGAGGTCATGTGATCCTCCCACCTCATCCTCCAGAGTAGCTGTGACTACTGGTGTGCACCTCCATGTCTTGCTATTTTTTGTAGAGATGAGATCTTCCTGTGTTATCCAGTCTAGCCTCCAACTCCTGGGCTCAAGTGATCTGCTTGCCTTGGCCTCACAAAGTGCTGAGATTACAGGAGTGAGCCACGGTGCCCAGCCCCCATTTCCCTATTGTTGAACATAACATTTCTTATTTTAAAATTTTTACCTGAATACTCTTTTACTGAATTATTTTTAGGTTGGTCTTCCTGCAAAATCTGGAGTTGCTGGGGGCATTCTTTTAGTTGTCCCCAATGTTATGGGTATGATGTGCTGGTCTCCTCCTCTGGATAAGATGGGCAACAGTGTTAAGGGAATTCACTTTTGTCACGTAAGCATATTTTCTTAATGAGAATAATGATGATATAAGTTGAGCCATCCAGTGATTCTTTTTTGTAACCTATTTTCCATAGTTCATTAACTCTTGGCCTTCCACCTATAGTGGGCCAGTTATTAGGTAGCTGTGGAAATACTCCCAGAGGAGCTTCAAGTTGCCTCTGTCAGACAGCTCCCATTTAATTATTCCCACAGATTATATTTGTTAGGTGCTAATATTTTAATTTTCATGGTTAGAATTAGTATCAATTTTCAAAAGCTCAACAAAAGATATTAAACTTGGAGAAGTAATTTAAAAGCTAGTATATCTTAAGAATTATTTTGGTTTATCTTTAATCTGCATTTTTAAATATCTTTATCCATTGACTACCTTTAAACATTTTTTTGAGGAAATAAGCACTGAAAATTAAAAAAAGATTAAACAGTTTTTAAAGTGTTACTGCTCTTGATAGTTCTGTATTTTGTTGTTACCTACTTCCTGCTAATGTTTGAGCTTCTAGTTTTAGTTACATTTATTACTTTCCAGAGTTCATATTGAGTGTCATACTCAATTAAACTTGTTTTATTTTCCAGTCTTTCATATTTTACAAAAACTAGAGTATGACATTGGATTGCATATAAAGTATAGTAGATTGTAACCAGAGTACTTACGTATATTTTAATGTTGCTTTACACTTATTTGATAGAAGAATTCTTTCATGGGGCCGGTTATAAACCCTATTTTGTAGAAGGTGAAAGATGATTTGATTGGCTGAGCCCTAGGATCATGTTAGTAAGCGGTGCCCTTAAAACTTGTATCCATATCTTACTCTGATTTTAGTTCTCTTATTGATGCATTATACTACTTTATTAGCATGTAGTGATGATTTCTAAGCTGGACGATATAAGCAGAGTTTGTTAAAATATGGATATACATAACCAATGAATAGCCAATTTCTTATACCTGTTCTGTATAACTGTTTACAGGATCTTGTTTCTCTGTGTAATTTCCATAACTATGATAATTTGAGACACTTTGCAAAAAAACTTGATCCTCGAAGAGAAGGTGGTGATCAAAGGGTAAGCAAAATTCGTATTTAGATAATTATATAAAATTTTTAAGAAGAGAAAAAGTGATATTTGCCTGTATAAATAAAATCTTAGTTTGTTAGTGGCCTCGGGTCTCTGCTATTCATAAATGAGTGTAAACAAATTGTTGACATTTTAACCCGGGATCACCAGTATTAGACATTTAAATATTGCTTAATAGTTAATGGATATAGATATTTAAATATTACTGTTTTGTTACTTAAATTGAAAATGGTTAGCCTAGTGTCAGGGTTTTCCCCTTCCATTTTCCACTATTTTAAGCAAGATTTTTAGAATTGATTCTGTTAAAAAAAAAAAAAAAAGACATTGAAACGTGCTACATGCTATAAAGCATTGTTTTAATATTTGTCAGTCCTAAATTGAAGTTTATTTTAACTTCTTGCATACTGTGTAGACGGATATGTAAATAGAAAAGGATTATCATATTAGTGAGAGACCATATGAAGCCTCAAAAGTTTTGTTAAGTCACTGTAGATGAAATATTTTTTTCCACTGTGTTTAATGCAGTATTCCTAATAATCTTACGGTCCTATTTGTTTTTTTATCAATGTATTTGGCTTCATACTATTGTACACATATATTCCTTTGTTAGAAGTAGTATTAAGAGTCAGGACTTAACTTTTTTGGTCTATATTTTATATAGTTTTTCACTGCACCAAGGGGCTTGTGTTGAGATTTTTGATTCAGTTTCTTTGCGTACCATATTGAAAATGTTTGTAGTAAAATTACCTAATTAGACCTCAAGATAATATGAAGAACTTGTAAGTAGAAAATATTTTTAATACATACTAAGTACATTTTCTGTAGTGCTAAACTAAATTTTTGTTAGTTTTTATCAAATTAATTTCTGTTACTATGTAAGAATTATGCAAAACCAACAGAATAGAAACTTCCGTGGGAGTCGACCTGAGTAACATGAAACAAAATGTCAGAGGTGGTGGTTTAAAATGTTAACATTTTAATAATGTTCATTGAAAAATACCATTTTGTAGCTTGGACCTTTCTTCACTCAAGTGCACTAATAAATTATGTATGTTGCTTGAACAACTAGCATTCCTTTGGACCATTGGACTATGAAAGTCTCCAACAAGAACTTGCTTTAAAAGAGACAGTATGGAAAAAAGTGTCACCTGAGTCAAATGAGGACATCTCTACAACTGTAGTATATAGAATGGAAAGTCTGGGAGAGAAAAGCTAAAGAAATGGGTTCTAGTTTCAGAATGTTTCTTCATTTAATCTTTCAAACACCTTTAGCTTTTTTTTTTGCAAGTTATAAATATTTATTTGAGGTATTTTTTGTTCTCAATCTTGGGTGCTGGAGCCATAAAGCTTTTTTTTTTCCTTTTAATCTTTGTATAAAGACAGTAGATTAAGAAGTGCATTTGTTGGTCTTTAAAAAATATTTACAAGTACATAAATTTGCTTTATTTTTAAAAATACAAAAAGGAAAAATTTACATTTTTCTTGATGTAATTAAAATGTTAACTATGTGGTCAGATAATCCCATTTTACAATAGTAACAGAAAATTGTAATTCTTAGTTCTAAAATTCACAAATTAAACTCATAACTTTTGTTGCATTTTGTTTTTTCCTTTCCATTTTTAAAACTAACTTGATGTCTGTAGTGGCAATAGAAAGTACTTCTATGCTAAATACAAAACTAAAAAGGCAAAATAATGAACCCCAAATTATTTTATTTAAAATAGCAGTGGATAAAATTAGCTTGCATTTACATTTATGCCATTTTTAGTGATAGATTGGCTTTACATTTTAAAAAATTTATTTAAAAATTTATCAAATGTTTTAAAATATACCTTTTTTATTTTGCAACTCCTCTGTTCCGTCAGAATTGTTATATACAGGAGTGTCTTATGTTACTAAAACATTCCAGCCAAAGAATTTCAGATGTGAGATAATGACATTTCATTGATATAAAGTTATAATGGTTAGTTACTCAGAAGGAGAAACAGTGAGTGTCTTCAAGTGAATTGTTCACCTAAACAATTTTATTTTCATATTATCCACATAACTTTTTCTATGTTATATTTAAATATGAATGGCAAATTTTGGTTTTTAGCTTTTAAAATTTTATTATCCTAATAATTTTATAAATGCTAATATTTCTTTTGTTATAAGTTATAGCATCTCATAAAGTTTGTTCTATTTGAACTCTTTTAGAGTACTTGAGAAATGAATTTAGTCTGCAGGTAGTAAGTATGCTACTAAAATATGTTAGATCTAAATCCTTTTGTTTGATAATAAAAATGCAATATTGAGAATCAAAACTTGTTTTTAAGAGAACTATAGATTCTACACAACCTGATTTCAAGTAATTATTCATAGTATTTAAAGTTGTCTTGGCAAAGTGATTGTAAAATCCTATAGGACCTATTCACACTTCTTCCTTCTTCCATATACCCCTCTGGTTTTCCCCGTAGTTCCCCTACAGTTTCAAGTTCGTTGAAACCTGTTTATTTTAGTGGGGGATTAGAAGAAAAACTTGGCGACTTCTTAGCATGATGGTGTATGTGGTAATGGAAAGTCTGTAAAAGTAAACATAGTGTAACAAAAAAGATGTCACTGAGTATTTTAGATACTAGTGCAAATAAAGATAGAAAATTTTGATCATAATGTCTTGAGTTTGGGAACTGTGATATTAAGAAAAGAAATTCCCTACCAGAGGTGTGGCCAAACGCCTTTTGGGCTAACTTAAGTATTACATTTATATATTTAAATAATTATATTTTAAGTTGTAGAGGATTTTGCCCAGGATTTTATGCTTACTTGAATGTTCTTTGAATGTTCAGATGCATATCCTAACTGGATGCTTCTCAAGGCCTTACTGCATATTTGTGTTAGTTGCACCAGGGCCATTTGTAGTTTGGGCAACCAAATGCCTTAATTGGAAAAAAGGCATTGTGGTTTCCCCTATGATCTAAATTGTTACATTTTACCGTTTCATTCAGAAATTGGTTTCACTTTATAAAATGAAGATTTAGTTTTCATATTGCATACATAGCCGTATAGATTTCAAAATTAGGTTGTTAATTTGTGGCACTGACTATTTTGGTGTTGGTAATGCTTAAATGCATACTTAAAAATGAAGTACTATTATCTAAGCTCCTGTGTTTAGAAAATGTTAAGAAGGAGCATCCAGAAATTTTTATAGAAAAGTGTAAATGGAAGAAGAGATAAGATACTGTGAGTAGGCTCTCAAACTTAAAAAAGAAAAAACTTTGCCAATTTTAAGGACATATTTTGATTCTTTCAGTATTCTTAACACCTTTTTAAACAAAGTTCTTGAAAGTACCCAGTATTATTGGGTTTGTTTTATGCCATTATTGATTCTTGATATTCAAGCATTTACAATGTAGCATATTTGATTTTCTTTTTTCTTTCTTTTTATTTTTTTGGCATCATTAACATTTCATTTGAAATGCATATTGTTCTTGAAGTACTTTGTTTTTAGCATAAATGTCGTGCATTTTATCTTAGTGTTTGGATGAAAACATTTGTGTTGTTTAGCTTTCTTTCATTTGCTTTGTATATTTAATAATGTACCTTTATTTTCCAGTATGCCTACATTTTGTATTGTACAATAAATTTATTTTAAGCTGATTTTATTGTTTTTTTTTTTGTTTTGTTTTTTGGTTTTTTTTAATCAAAGCAACTTCAACATTTTAGGTACAAATACAGTTGGGATTTTAACTTAGAAAAAATTATTCTTTATGAAGATACTGTTAAAGTGTTTGCTATTCTGAAGCTGCCTCAAAGTAAACTAGAAGTACTCAAAAGGGCTTTATTTGATTTTTAAAAATGCAATATAGCATTAGTGGTTTTTTTGGGAGGAGGACTTTTCCTATTGGTTGTACTAGAAGTATTTGAATAAAAACTTTTCTCTCAATTTTTTTGGTTGTTTTTCCATTTGGTAACAAAAAAAAATGCAACCCTATTTGTAGGTTATTTTTGCTTTCCAAGGAGGAATATTGTTGTTATTCACTATGTAACTCTCATTTTATCTGTTGTTGCCTAAATAATAAGAAAAACATTGCTAAACCAAATGAAGAGTATCATTATATTGCTTTAGAATAAAACTGTTAATCTCAGTAGAATTTATATTAAACAGAATGACAATGATCTAGAAATTCACCTTAACTGGTTTCTGAGGAGATTACATTTTCAGAAGGAATTTTGTATGTTTGTACAGCATGATCCAAATTGTAGTAGAAATTATAGAGGCTCCATGTATTGTAGGTCAAATATAGTACTTTATATTTTTATGTTTAATTAAATCTGCCATTCATATTCTGGAGATTTCCTGAATATATTGTAGAAGTTTTAAAACCATTTGAAAGGGGAAATGTTGTTGTTTACATGAATTTGTATTAATCTGTGGGATTTTTAAAGGAAGTTCTTTTAGAATTAGTTAATAAGGAATTCCAGTATAATAATATATTCAATATATGTAACAGTTTATGATTACTTGCTTTTAAAGACTTTTTTAAAAAATTCATTTGAAGCAAAGAGAGAGGAGACTTAAAATGCCTGGTGATCTTGATCTGACAGTGTATATTTAATAGGCATATATTTATGTGGAAAGAACTGCTGAAATACACTGTTATGTCAGCCTATATCCTGATAATTTATATATAATGTATGGGTTGCATTTGTTTGTGCATATGTATGTTTGTGCATACATATATATCATTTCCTTATCTATATACCTTAATCTACCCATTCATATTCTGAAAATGACGAGCAGTTCTTTTCACATTGTATATTATGTATAAATTATTCATTGATCTATTCCTGTTCCAAGCTTTGACACAAAAGAACTCCTAAAATTTTTGCTGCCCTAGAATTGGTAAAGTATAACATACTTTACCATTTGACTTCTTCAATTTGACTTTAAAGATTTGTGGTTTCTGTTACCACTCCCATTCACTACCAGTACTGCCAGGGTAAGAGAG